CACCGGTATCGCTGAGGTCAAGGTTCGAATCCCGGCGACCTGAATTTTTTCATGCTTTCTTTTCGCAACTGCACCACTGAGTTGCGTCTTTCAATATTATATTTTAGTAAAATCCAACTACTGGTCTATTATCAATGCTGCGTTCTGATTGGTTGAGCTACTACTAGGCTATATGTTATAGTCCACTAGTAGCGAAAGCGCCGGCTTTTTGGCGGCAAAAAAGGGATTAAAGTCTAGCTTTAACCAGCTAAAGTTGTTTTGTCGCGATATTTTTGATCAGCTAGTTGGATTTTACTAAAACAATTATTCCTCTCGCCCTCATGGCCTCTGACTCAATAGCCCATGAAGCCTTCCATGGGCTATTGACTCAGAACCCATTCGGGCTAGAGGAATAATTGTTAAGTATGCTATGAGGTTCGACATCGACCAAGGGAACTATTCGTATTAAGTAGAAAGGTGTCTGTATTATAGAATAGGTATCTTTGGGACCGAGAGAACTGTCCATAATAGGGAGGTACCAGGGGCGGATCCAGGATTTTTTTCAGGAGGGGGTGCATTCGTCTCTTGCTCTACTTCAACACCAGTAGACCACATAGTTTTTTTTTTTTCGCAGAATACCAGTTGTATTAGAAAACCGCAGGTCTCAGGGGGGGGGGGGGTGCGCCCCCCCTGCACCCCCCCCCTAGACCCCCCCCTGGGGGACGGATGACTCAAATTCCGCCCAGGCCACCCTTGATCTGAAACCGACAACTTTCCGCTCCGGTTCTGATGGTTTGTTTTTTTTTTTTCGCACAAACCCCGTTGTAATAGAAACACGCCGGGCGCGGGGGGGGGGGGGGTGCGCACCCCCTGCACCCTCCCCCTAGATCCGCCCCTGAGGTACGGTGTACTCAAATTCCGACCAGGCCACTCGTGATCTTAAACCGACAACTTTCCGATCAGGTTCTGATTGGTCCATGAAATCGGAAATAATTCGCGAAGTCAAATAAGAGTTTTCATCATTTCTGTATTTGTGGGTTAGCTCTGGTTCTTAGGAATTGAAAAGTCAAAATGTTTAAGCGCCTCATCGAAATTTTTCGGTCGAAGGAAAGTACGTTGTACAATTGAGATTTTTTTTACACCTACTCTAAGGCCTGCAGGAATACAAATAGAATTATCAGTCCTATGAGCTAGTACTTTCTTTCGCAGGGTGCTAACAACGCTATTTTTTTGGTTTAGAAGAACAAGCAGAAGTTGATCAACCTCAAAGTTCAGCGCCGCCTGAGAAACCAGTAGAAGCTGAGCCGCGCGAAGACCCTCTTGGCGAGGAATCTCGAGAAATACACGAAGAAAATCATCCACAAAATGTGGTAGAAAAGAATGCCGACGACGGAGATCAACAAGGTAGCCAGACTGAAGAGGAAGCGAGGAAAGACGAAGGAGCAGTAGAAAGCTCTCAAACTGTGCAAGATATTGTGGCTCCAAAAAAGGAAGACGAAACGCAAGAAGTGCCCGAAGGAGAAGCGAGCGCATCAGCGACGGAGACAGCTCCAGTGCAAGACAGTGGTGCAGATCAGCCTGATGGAGAGACCGGAGAAAAACCAACAGAGCAAAGCAGCGAGGTAGGAGAAATTGAAGGACAGAGGGGGCAAGAAAAAACGGATGAAGACACTCCGGTCGCGGAAGCGGAAAACGCTGAGGAAACGCAACCGGCGGCTGAAGAGGCGCAAACCACGACCGCAGACACTGACGAAGAAATTAAACCCGCAGAAGAAACAGCTAAGGTTGAGGAACAGCAAGAACAAACACAACAGCCTAGCGAAGAAACAAGGCAAGAGGAAGAAACGCAAAAGCCTAGCGAAGAAACAAAGCAAGAGGAAGAAACGCAACAACCTAGCGAAGAAACAAAGCAAGAAGAAGAAACGCAACAGCCGAACGAAGGAGCGCAGCAAGAGCAAGAAAAACAAAATCCGAGCGAAGAAGCGAAGCCAGAGCAAGAAACACAAAATACGAGCGAAGAGGCCAAGCCAGAGCAAGAAACACAAGCGAGTGAAGATAGCTGAAAGAGCTTTGTTTGTTCAGCTTATTTTCGAGTTGAAACTAGTAAGCAGAATCCATTTATTTTTAAGCGTTTCACTGATATGTTCTTTTGATTACTCGTACACTCACTTGCTCTTAGAGTCACAATTATCTCTTAATCCGTGCGGGACTCAGACCGAAGCAAGTTTACAAAATAGGTTTCGTTTCGCTTAGTGATTTCATTAACAACACTGAACTGTACTGTAGTTAAACCCTTGTCGCGTCGGGTTGGTCACTGTAAATAAGACACTATTTCGTCATCAATCGCCAGTACACATCATTTTAATAATTCACGACAATAACTTCCACACTTTTGCTATGTCGCTACATATAAAATGGTACAAACTTTCGAGCCTTTATAGAGGTAAACTTTTGTAATGTCGTTCTAGGCAATAAGTCCGAAATCGTTTTCATTGGAGATTAGAGCCGTTTAAACCAATATTTTTATCCGAGTTCAACTCGCGACCTTTCAGTTTACCTTCACTTTGTTTTGATCTTGGGATTTCGTGGTGACATTTAAGAAAAATACAACAAAAACAAAAACACCGTAAGATAGTTTCACAAGAGTCAATAAAGTCTTGTAAGAGCCGACATATTTATCAGAGAAAGAAAAATAGAACTATTAAACATATAGTAATGCTTTATAATTGTAGGGAGGACGTGATAAATAGGCAAATGATCAAATTAAACTAAAGAAGGAAAACAACAAAAAAAATCAATATTTATTATTTGTTACGATAAAAAGAACCTTCGTATAAAGGATTGTTGAAACATGACAAAAGCATTTGAAAGTCATTTATTATAATTTTTTTTAGCGATAAGGCCATCCCCCCTTTTTTCTTCGTTTAGCGTCGAATGCGTTCCCTGGTATTGGGTCGGTCGGTCGGATTGAACCCCCCCCCCCCCCAAAAAAAAAAAAAAAAAAAAATATAAACATTATCGTAATTAAAAGCCTGAGTGTCATTCCTGAATCAAGTTAAAAATTAAAATATAAAAACATGATTAAACAAATAATAAATAATATTTTTATAAATTTTACGTTTTTTT